CGTTCTGTCTCCTACTGCACAAGGAAACCTTTATCTGAAACTGAAGGAAAGGGCAGGTGGTGGACTTAGGCTCAGAAGAGGAGATATATTCCTAGCTTTGCAACAAGATGCAGTCTACCTTTGAATCCCTTTGTCTCCCTACCCATAAAAATGAAAACAACACATCTCGACAAGGAATGAATCTATCAGTGTCACAGACTGCCATGAGATCTATGCATAGAAAGTTCTGCACAGAATTTAAAACTTTATTTCTGTACCCTCCAGGGATCCTTCACACATTAAAAAGCTTAGAAGTAGTTATAATCCCTTGTCTTTCTATTATTGCTGCATACAGCACTGAAATCCACCTATGGAGATTTTAATTATCTCCAAGGCAGAACGACTCTCTTGCTTTTATTCTACCATTTTTTTCCCGCAGAAGCAAAATATTACTGTAGCCAGATACACTTCGCAAGTCTTAACACTAATAACAGAGGCAGACTCGTATCTCTGTGATTAAAGAGACCACTGTTGCTAGGGAAACTAGGTTATTCAGATCTCCTAAACGGAGCGCAATGCTTCACAGGCTGTTCAGGCTCTACCTGGAAGCAAAAAGGCTAGAGCAAAGAGAGCAGAGCCAGGAGCTCACCCGCTCGGACACCTCCAGCTGCTCTGGGCGCTGCTATTGTAGACAGCATGTGGAGACAGCAGCTGGGCCCAAGCAGGAGCAGTTGTGTTCTTAGCCAGTGTCTCAGGTCGGGTGAGCCTTAAGAGGGTGGTTCTTCTCCTTTTAGAGCCAGCCAGTAAGAAATTGAGCCATCAAAGCCAGAGAAAGACGAAACACAGAAACAACAGACAATTACTGACAAGGCACAACGAAGGAAGAAGGGGAGGCATAGGAGGATGGTGGACTCAAATGTGTTGTACTGAGAGAGCACCAGACAGAGATACTGAGGACACTACTCCACGTGTGTCATGCTTCTCTCACCTCACCAGCAGGCCCCATTTCTCCTCCTCTGTGGGTAACCTATAAGAGAGCCCATCCCATAGAGAAGAGCAGCAGCTGAGACTTACAGAAACAAGCCCTCTCAGCACCTAAGAGCAGCTGTTTTTACCACTGGCCCTCTGCCATTCTCTTACAGTATCCTTCTCCTGCACTAGCACAACCTTCAGGTGCAATGAACTACCTGAGGCTACAAAGGCTCAGCATCAATTCACACATTCTGATAAAAATCTCCAGCATTTACTTCCACCTTTGCCTCCCTGGCCTTGCTTTGCTCCAGCTTTTATGAGTCTGTTCCACCATCCCCCTCCTTAGCTACTGCTCCCATCCTGTCACCTCCCTTTTCATCTCTGTCCCCTTTTCATTTTCTTTTGGTTTTCTCAAACTTAATATTCCTTTTCCTTATCTTCCTATTCCTTCCCTCTTCCAAACTGGTTCTTTCCCTTACTGCCTCAAATTTCACCTGGCTGGAGGGTAAGGAAGAATCTAACAAATTTACAGTTAGTCACAAATCCACTGGCACTCGGAGACAGCACAGCAACACTGCTCCCTTGTCCTGTTGCCTACACCCTTCCTGCTGGGTACCATATTCATTCTTCAGGAATATGAAATCAAGTCATAGATCTAGCTGGTAAGCAGGAAGGGAAAAAGAAATTAACTTCTAAGTAAAAGGAAAGATTAGCTGTGTCTAATCCAGGACCACACAATGGTTCAAATGCATGTGTCATACTTTCAACGGCATCACAACATCCATAGCTGCTCGAGGGACTTAACAGCAGCATGCAGAGAAGTTCCAAGCTAGCTGTGCTCCAGCTAATCCTGCTAAAAGAGCAGTGAAGCCACAGCAGCTCAGACCTGCCTGCCTAAGAAAATACCTAGAAGCCTGGAGGGGGAGGGGGAGCTGCACCTCATGCCAAAGCCCCACATCACTGTGGCTTCACTGCTACTGGTACCAAGGCTAGCACAGGTTTGTAATGTCTATACTCGCTCCAAAAACATTCCTGCAGCCGCAGAGCAGAAGAGCGCTAAGGCAGTTTGCATCCTCTGACTGTGTGTTTCTATGCCAGGGAATGTGTGAGGCCATAGTTTGACATTGGCCGCAATAGGGGTTTAAGGTTTCCCCCACCAAAGTCATAAACCACTGCAGAGCCCTCTCCCTTCTTATGCCCTTAGTCCTGCAACCCCACAGGTGTCTATGGTCCAGATAAAGAACCCAGCCAGCTCAAAGAAAAACATTTTTGACACTCCACTTCTAAGCTGGATCAGCTCTCTGATCTAGTTCATGCACAGAAATCCAAA